AGAGAGAGAGAGGCCTGTGCATAGTTGACTCTGACATTCTGTGGGTGACTCCCTACCATTTACAGCTGTCCACACTGTGCTGCGAGCGTGGCTGCAACGGGCCCGCTTGTCCTACTAATGTATTGTTATCCTACTAATGAATTATCATGGATGGCCTTCCCTTTCTCCATCGTGTCATTTCCCTATTCAATCTCTACTCCTTCCTCCATGCTACAATGAAAAATTTCAACTACTTTCTCTGCTGCTCCTTCCTTTCTGGTGCTCAGAGGCCATCAGCCTTTTGTCATTCTATGATGCATTCGATTGTTCTACCGTACATCAATTCACTGAACAGAACTTGGTGTTTTTCCCACCTAATGCATGATTCCTCATCAGCCATTATCCATATGGCTATGGTGTATTTTGTGAGGTCTGAAATCAGACCTGTCGCAAACTCGTTTCCTCGTGCATGCAAACAGATGACAAACTCGAGCTGGCGCAGAGCCCCCCCACAAAGCACAGAGATAAGAACGTGACCAGGAACACAGTTCAGATTCAAACTTGTTTTGAATGGCTATGGTGCAATGCGCAAGATAAAGATTCCCACCCGATCAACTGTATCCACCAGCAACTTGTTCGCATTCACACACACACACACACGCACACACTCTCACACTATCTAGGATCACCCTGAATGTCCCACTCGCACACACACACGAGACACACTTACTGCCGTCTCTCTCTCCTACTAACTCGTGGCTATGGCCGTGTCTTCCTCCTCTTAGCTCTCTTCTTCCTTGGGCACCTGCAGACCTCCGATGCACAAGTCGCCCAAGCAGGACTTCCGCATGGCTCACAGGCAGAATGAATGAACGACTCGACGCTGCCTCTTTATTTATACTTCGGATCGTCGGTGGTCTGGCCTCTTCACCTGGGCCCGGGATGTACACAGTCCCACATGGTACTTGTTGACTAGACTAGGTTAGATCGGGACTGGGTATCGCTGACTAGATGAAGTAGGATTGGGACTTCCCTACTGTGATAGGACTGCCCCTCGCTGACTCAGCTACGGACTGATTCCTACGACCTACGAAGAGCCAACTTAGACTAGCCTAGAAGGTCCTAGACTTGACCTTTCAAAACTGGAGCAGCTACGACCTACACTACCTCTATGACCGCTAAAACTAAAGTCTACGGGTTGAGTCCTCTCGACCAAGCTATGTACAGCAGTAAAATACTACGACTTTCAGTGGTAGGTCGTGAGTTCAAACACACAGGGTCAACGGATAATGTACATGGGTAGGGGGACAAGTCTAGGGATCGAGCCCTGGGATCTGCATCTGTCACGCGATTAGGTGAAATCGTGTCACTCCCGCCGGCCTAAATTCGAGGTTCTCCGAGAATAACTTAGTGCAAGTCAGGACCTTTACCCTTTCTTGCCCTGTCGTATGCATGGACTATGTCGGGAGCGGTCTCTAAAAGCTCGGTTCTTGTGAACAAGTGGTTGTTTTCGGGTTCTTGATAAGCAAATCGGACTTTGTATTGCTTATGTGGGCGACCCCTTCCTCCAGTCCTGAACACATCCTCTTCCACTATGCGGTCTATGTCGTGTGTGCCATCCATGTCTGGCGGGGTCATTGGTCGACGCGATGGAAACTGTTGACTGGTGACACAAGGAAGACAGGGTACGTATGGAGGTGTGGTGAAATTTCTATTGTGTACGAAGGTCCTTCCTCTCCACCTTTAACTTCTAGGGAAGGCCACGGTCCCCTATATGCGAGTAACAACTTTTGTGAGATGTTTTCCTCTGGAGCAAACTCCTTTGACTTGACCCAGACAAGATCGCCTACCTGAAACTCTGATGGCCGATGATGCTTGTTAGCTTGCTCTATCATTCTATGTTGAGCTTTTCTCAGATTGTCGGTCACTCTCACAATTTCCTTTTCATGCTGCAATGCAAATTCTCTGGTCCTGGGTGGCAGTCTTTGTATTTGGTCACGGTTCAGTCCTTCAAACGGCCTGCGTGGTCTGAAGGACTTGTGGAGCTCATTAGGAGTCCGGAAGGTAGCTAGATGAACACTGTTATTGTAGGGGCTAGCTACCTTTGGAAGCATTTCATCCTAGTTAATCTGATCTGGTCTAATATACATCCTAAGTATTTGGTGCAGGATCTTATTCATCTGTTCAGTCTGATCGTTAGTCTCTGGATGACAGCCAGATGACATTAGCAACTCGGAGCCATAGACTCTCATAAGTTTCTGCCACTGCTGGCTAGTAAACCACGTATCTCTATCGCTAACTATGGACATCGGAATACCATGTTCACTTACCCAGGAATCGAAAAAGTTCTCTATAACTAATTCAGTACGTGCCTCTGAAGGCAAAGGAACGAAAACTGCATACTTGCTAAAACGATTTACTATGACCATGACTTGGCTCTTGCCATGGCCACTCCTGACCCCGACATCCATAAAATCAATGGACATGGACTCTCCAGGTCCTGAAGGAATAGGCAAGGGTCTGAGAAGACCCAATGGTGCTCGCGTCGTACTCTTGTTGCGTTGACATACCTTACAAGTGCAGACGCACTCTATGCAGTCAACTTTCATGCCAGGCCATGAGTAGGCATGTGTCAGACTGGCAAAAGTATTTTGCCAGCCAAAGTGCCCCTCTGTATCGTGGCATTCCCCTAAGATCAGACTCCGGATCTCTTCATTGCTGGGGATGCACAGTCTGTCTACAGCATCGGTTTTCTCAAATAATAACCCGTTCGTGGTGCGGTAGTTAGGTTCACTATCTGAGGCCTCCTTAACTCTCTTTAGGAGGCCACTATAGATGGGGTTCTGAGCATACACGTCCTTAACCCATTGTTGCAGGTCAGTCCCAATGTCTAGGTAGTGAACTATAGCTCCAAAGTAGTCAGCTCTCCTACTTAGAGCATTTGCTACCACGTTGTACTGTCCTTTCATAGGTTTGAGCTCAAAGTCAAACTGGTCATTCTCGACAACCCACCTATTAAGCTTAGGTGTCATCTTGGGTTGCGTTTTTAACCACCTCAGTGTCTCGTGGTTTGAATAGACTTTGAGGTGCCTCCGAAGCAAGTAATGTCTCCATTGGTCTAGTGCTTGCCTGAGAGCGTAGAGTTCCCTCCCATAAGTTGAGGCTGCTACCTTTTGTGAAGGCAACCTACCAAATATGAACTCTACGGGTCTGTACCCATTGCCGTCATCTTGCTGTAACACAACACCAATACCATATTGGCTCGCGTCTGTAGTGATGACAAAGGGTAAGGACGGATCGACTACCTTGAGGACTGGATACTCTACTAGAGCCCGTTTCAACTTTTGAGGGCCGAGGTGCAATCTTGGTCCCACTTCAAGATTGCTTCTTTCTTTAGCAGTCTGTGAAGGGGAGCAGCGATAGTGGAAAAGTTTCGGATGAACTTTCTGTAGTGATTGGCCAATCCTAAAAACGATCGGGAGCACGCACTAATATTTATCTATCTTGTCTTGCCAATCAGTCTTTTCGATGCCCAAAGTTTCCCAAGGCCGGCCCTCAGGCCGACCAGGGTGCCAACCACCCCCCCTGGGAGATGATCGATCTGAAGGAGGACGGTTTGACGGGGGACCTTGACCCGTCTCCCGCTTGGCGGTTTCCTTTGCCGCCACCCCCCTGGCCGCCCTGTCCTCGACCACTAGAGGTCTGGCCACCGGGCTTTGGCCTCTTCCTCCTCCTTGAAGCCTCCCTCCGGCCGCGACAACAACATAGGTACTCCCCTGACCTGCACTATTGTCTGTGTCCTCTAGGCCCCACTCTATATCGCTGTAAGGGACCTCCTCTGCACCGCCTCGTTCCATCGTCCGTATGAGATGATCTTTGGCCTTGACTTGGCCAGAGATGGTGCGATCCTTCCACTTTTTCCCCTTATCGAGGTCCTTGTGCCAGAAAGTGGTAACTGGCATCCAAGTCCTGGTTTCTATGGCTGTGTCAACATGGGACTTTATGCTTCAAACTCATGAAACCTCACCGACAATGAGCATATCAATCATGCAGGAAGTGCCAGGAACTTGAGCATCAACATTTTGAAAGTGCTCTCTCCTGCCGGCTGTTCCTTTCTGCTAGGGATGTAAAACAGCAATCTCAGTAAGCATCATCATAACCAGCTCATAGATTTGGGAGAGTACGGTTGAACCACCACTATCTCTGAGCCGCCCCTTTTTGCTGAGGCGGGTTCCCCCCTGCGAGCCAGTCATCGCCGAAGTGCCAGTGAGGCGTTGTTTTTTTCCCCCTTCTTTTGGCTGGTGCCGTCACCCATCGGGGTCTGGTAGCTCTGAGCCTCCGAAGAACCCACAATGTTACATTTTTGATTCTCGATGTTGCCTGGGAACGCTAGTGGTGGTTTAAGAAGGTGGGTTCGCTCCCCCCGGCCCCCGGCCATGAAGAAGCACAAAGGAGTCTATTAGTTTATCAAGCACTTAAGTCAAGCTAGTTCAATGGCTGTTTGTAGGTGGCACCGTAGTAACTTGGTTATAGGGAGGCTTCTTGAGATTACCTTTGGCCCCTTTTTGCCGAGCATCGCCATGCGCCCTGATGTTGGAGATCAGGAATGAAAGGCTTGGCTTGTTGCACCTAGTTGGATCCTTTACGTACAGAAGGGAGGGGCTCTGTGTGGGGCAGCGACTGTGTGACCCGTGGTCACATCTTGTTTGTACTCGATCTGTGGTAATAAAATGTTTAGGGAAAAAGAAAAGGAAAGCTTGCTGTTGATCATGAGTGTAGTCCTCTTCTTTTTCTTTTTTCTGCTTCATGGATGTCATATGTGATAGTATGAAATGAGCATTGATTGGTCGCCGTTGCAATACTCGCTTGAACATGTCTTTCATGGCTCAAATACTGCATCCTATCTGTTTGTCTTGTCGTACGGGTGATGTTTCCTTTTTTTTTTAATTATTATTTCTAATCGGCAATGCTTCCTGTTTGAATGACGCATTACTAATTTATGCTTGCAATGTGACCTGCAGCCGGGGAATGTTCTCTACCCCACGTCACCATATCCGGATGAGGTGACAACGACAACACACCTTTTCAGTGTGCGGACTCGGACGTTCACCTCCATTGAGCTGCTATTGCCGATGTTCCCAAATGATACGGTATACATCAAGAAAGCTGGTGTCTACGAGGTATCCTACTCAAGGTTCAATCCCCCGCTGGAGCAGCTGCTGATCAACCCAAGCCATTCAAAGCTGTTTGTTACACTGCCAAAAGAATTCAATTACAGTGATATATATGGAAATATACTTGGCGAAAGTGTGATGATTGGGCCATGGTCATCGGAAATCATTTATACTCTTCCCACAGACTCATTGCTGCAACAGTTGGCCATTACCTGAGTAAACAATTTCATTTGTTTGGTTATTTTCAATTATTCGTCTTCCTGATATATACTTGTTTATCTACCCCATTATTCACTTATTGGTTTATTACTCACTACCTAGTTTCCGATTTCCATTGGCTCGGGTGCACTAGTAACGCATGCGGAAATATGATAAGCTTTCCATCAACCCAGGGAGGTTGTAGTTCTCCACTCTTGTTGAGGATGCAGAGTTGGCAGCAAAAGCATTCTCTTCAGTCCATTGATGAGAGATACGGGAGCGGGGCGAGGGGCGGGAGGAATAGGGGCGAATGTGTGTGTGTGTGTGTGTGTGTGTGTGTGTGTGTGTGTGTGTGTGTGTGTGTGTGTGTGTGTGTGTGNAGAGAGAGAGAGAGAGAGAGAGAGAGAGAGAGAGAGAGAGAGAGAGAGAGAGAGAGTCATGCAAAGAGGTCAACATAGGGTTGCATTTTGGGTGCACAAATCGTGCACCATCCAGTTTTCGGAGAAAATGAGATCGACAAGCATTTATTCCTGAAACCACCGTGATGTATAGTCGATCAGCACGATCAGCTGCGAATCATTTGCAACTTGTAGAGTTCTGGTTTCGGGGAGTTCTGCTTGCCACTGCTAGAGAGTGGTGTTCAACCACCACTGCGCCCTATGCTATATATTGACGAACTGGCACTTTTTTTCGGAGCCTGGCCCACCGAACCAAAATGATGTGGGCCTACCGGTAGCCTCAGGGAATGAAAAATGCGTATTTTTGCCACCGACATTTCCTCTACCATGCAGAATTTTTTCGTTCCCCTCAGAAACGGTCTGCACTAGATCCATGTCCCTGATGGTTTTTTTTTTTCAGATTTTTTCATCAGTTAATTCTGCGCACGAAAATTCGCCAAAGTCCGCCCACTTGCCATTTTGCTAAAAAGCGGCCGCCTGCTGCCAAGCCAACAGGCCGGCGCACGCATTTTTGAGCTGTCGGGTGGCAGCGGTGGTTTAGGAGTTGGATGACCTCTTCGATAATTGTGTGTGTGTGCATGGGCACGTCTGGCCGAGTTTTCCACGAACAGGGACCAGTCCAGCCTCGACAGATGCTTGTGCGGACTCTTCTTCTGTTCTTGGAGCGTACTCCGAAGTTTCATGAATACCTTTTTCTTCTTCAAGTGCACTGAGAAGTTGCCGGATATGCTGGAAGTCTCTGTGGACTTCCTGAATACCTTTCCTTAATGTACGTATGCGAGGAAGTTGCAGGCATGTTATGTCCATTGATAGCTGGCAGGGAATGGATGGCCAAAACAACTTATAGTGTCAACTATGTCGAGAGGGACAATTGATTCGGTTTCAGGGTAGAGCTCTGTGGCACTTCACTTTTTTGCGACATTTGCTGCCAGATGCCACACTGTGAGACGGCGTATGAAAAAGAGCTGCACGGGACCTAAAAGCCGAACCTAAAGATGGTGCCTCATTTAGGTTCAGGTTCCATTTGGACATCACCCAAACAATTGGACCGTATCACCGCTTAATGACGTGACATGTCATGTCGTCTATGTTTTTCTTCATGTCAGTATGAAATTCAATTCTGTCATTTCGCCACCTCTGTTAACCTCCCCGCATAATCTCGACGGAATGAATGGTTTGGACTTCTAGATATCCACTCAAACCATTAAAATACTGCCCATCCCTAGAGGAGCAGCAATCGTTAGTGAAGGGGAATACAATGCTGGGTTCCACGACTCACCAAACGCCAAGTTTGAAGAGTGAGTGGTGATTCCACTTGCTCGGTCAGGAGAAAATTGGCATGAAGACTACTTTGCAAATTTGTAGGCCACCCTTCCTGTCACAGTGAAACACCAGTCGTGCTGGACTCGTGCAACATCGCCTCCCTCCAGGATTGAGCAGGGGTCGGTGAGCTGCTGCCAGCGATGTTGATGTTGGCATCTCAGTGGGCCGCTTACAAGCTGTGGCATGCATAAAGTTTGGCGAGCAAGAAGAATGATCTCTCCCCCCCCCCCCCCCCCCCCCCCCCCCCCCCCCCCCCTCTCTCTCTCTCTTCCCCCCCTGCTGGTCTGTATGTCTCCCTCCCTGCTTACGCTGCTTTTCACGGCCAATCATGAGTTAAAAATTATGGTCCCCACATGTGGGCTGCATGATAACAAGGAAAGACAGATGCAACTTTGAAGGCTCACAGACAAAAAGAGATGGGAGATGGCAGGGACACCCTTTGTGCTTTGAAGGAAGAGAGAAAAGTCTGGGCATGAAGTGCATGTCCACACCCAATGCCTTCATACTGAGAGAATGAGGGATGGGTGTGTGTTGTGTGCGTTTGTTGTTTGTGGGTCTGTGTTTGCACGTGCTCATGTGTTTGCGCGTGCTCATGTGTTGCGTGCGTGCGTGCGTGCCTGTGTGTTTGGGATGCTCTAGACGACTGCAACAGGCCCCCTATTGGTGTTGTCGGCGCTCCAAACAGACGGGCACCAACTATTTGGCACATCTTGAAGGTATTTCATTTTGACAGTGAAACAACATAGGGAAAGATCAGACCGCGCACGAAGTAGGCAACCACTTAGAACGGGAGGAAGGAAAGTAATAGATAAATGTGTGTGTGTGTGTGTGTGTGTGTGTGTGTGTGTGTGTGTGTGTGCGTGTGTGCGTGCGTGCGTGCGTGCGTGCGTGCGTGCGTGCGTGTGTGTGTGTGTGTCCAGTATATATCCCATGGCGTACTCGCCATGCACCCCGTGGAACCCATGGTACACCCTGCCCTGCCGTAACCAAACTAAAGCTGCATGTTGCCACTCTACTACTACACATGAAGCTACCTCGTACATACATGGTTATCCCTGACCAGCTTGCCAAAGTGCCAGACACATAGGCTAGAGGGCATGGGGAAGGCGGGAGGGCAGGCAACAAGCAAGCACACCAGCAGGCAAACCAAAAAAACAAGTCCCAAAAGGATGCCAAGACCAGGCAGACAAGAAAAGCATCAAGGCATGCCAAAACGAAGAAAGCAAAAAGACATGAGGGCAAAAGCAGCGAGGTGAACTATAAGCTGGAGGGCATGGGGGAGGCGGGAGGGCAGACAACATGCAAGCACACCAGACAGGAAAACAAGTCCCAAAAAAATCGAAAGACCGAAAAAAATAAAAGCTTATGATGATACATTGTTTCGCCGGAGTAGAACTGACTCATCAGGAGGCTGAACCCTTGACAATCTGCGGAATCCCCATATTGATGTTCTGGGTCATGAACCCTCTGACCCATGTTGAAGGCAGACTGTCCCCAGGTGGGACATAGCAGCGGGCAGCAACTCAGTGAAGCACCGGGCAATGCTGCCGGAGCAACCCAACTGCTCATCACCAAAGACGATTGCAAGGAACAACAGGGCAAGTGTGCAAGCAGCTCGGCCAACGGTGCAGCGAAGTGCAAGGCAACATCAACAAGGCGACCGGACTACAAGGCACGCAAGCAGAGGACACGGAAGGCCGACAGGGCAAGCGGACAAGCAGCTCGGCAACTGTGCGGTGAAGCGCAAGGCAACCAAACCACAAGGCACACAAGCAAAAGACATGGAAGGCACGGCCTGCGGATCGGCAGCAAGGCAGCAGAGTAGCGAGGAAGGCCTGCGAAGCAAGCGGGACGGGCAGCAAGGCAGCGGCAGAGTGCAGACAAGAATGTCTACACATCGAACACGGAGCAAAGCGGCACATGACCTACTCACATCACGAGTTAACCCCACAGACTGTTGGTTCCCACCACCCGCTGAGCGAGGGAATCACCCAGACGTACATCTGTCATCACCCACAGAAGACAGACAATTAGACATTCCGAACTGAGCGGGCCCCCTAAGAGTGCTGTAGGCACCCCAGATGAGGAATGGCCGACTGTTTGGCACTGCTTGAGGGTGCTCAGCTATGGACACTAAAAGTACTTCAGAAAATTACAAGAAAGAAGAAACATATAAATGATTGTGTGTGTGTGTGTGTGTGTGTGTGTGTGTGTGTGTGTGTGTGTGTGTGTGTGTGTGTGTTGTCGTATTCGCTATACACTCAAAAAAAGCATGACTGTGCCAGACTGTGTGTGTGTGTGTGTGTGGGTGTGGGTGTCCTTCCTACCACCCACGATCACGCTTCACATTAAACCACCAGTACTTCCTAGAGTCGTGCCCGTTAACGCGCCATGATTTTAGGAAACGTACGGGCTACTACAGGAGCGCCCAAATTCATCCGACTAGAAATGTTTCTACTCTATTTTTTCCCACGGTCGATAGCTGGGCCAAGTACTGGTGGTTTAAACCACCAGTACCGCAGTGGGTCCCAGGCCCCCTCTGGGGAGGCTATGCAAATGCATATGGACCCGCACGGCACACCGATTCAGCCACGGCGTTAACAGCCTAAGAACGTGGAGGTAAGGCATATTTTCACTCAGGGTTGAGGTTTGAACTGCGGCTTAATTAAAGCGGCCATTTTTCAAAAGTTACATGAAGAAGAACTGGCTTCAAATTGTAAGGGGTGTTCTGGCCAAACTGAAGGTTACTGCTTTGATGATATGGCTAAAACTCAGCCTTCTTCCATTTTTGTGTATTCTAAAAGGTGTCCATCTTAGATAAATTGCTGTTTTTGTTTGACAAAAGTGTCCGACGATGCATTCCGGAACTCCGCAGCACACTACAATACTTGAGCATAAGATCCAGTTGACTTCAGAATGCATGCTTGGCATAGATTACACATCATAGACATGGCATGAAGGAACAGAAAAGCGCAACCAAAGACGTAAGGGTTAATGACAGACTGCTTCATCGAAATCTCACAGTAGTCGTCAGTCGGCTGAGCCTGCGACAATCCGCAGAATCCCCATACCGAGTCGCAGTTGGCTGTCCCAGGTTGTGAGTGGACAGCCAGGCGGCTGACAATGCAGCTAGCAAGGCAAGGCACGCAGCAAGGCAAAGCAAGCAGCAGTCAAGCGGAGAGGGAGCATCTGGGCAAGAAGGCAGGAACCAAAGCAGCAAGGCAAATACCACCCATGCGTACATACATTCAACGGGGTGGTCACATGGGCAGTGGCAAAGCAAGGCAACAAGGCCACCAGTCAAGCATCAACAAGGCAAGTTGGCAGGCAGGCAGGTGGCGGGACAAGTGAGGCAAGCGGGCAGGCAAGCAGCAGAGCCACAAGGCAACACAAGGCACGTGGGTATAGCCAAGCAACTGGGCAGCACGGGGAAAACAAGGCAAGCCGGTGAGCAGCAAGGCAACGCAAGGCAAGTGAACAGGCAGCATGGCAGCACCGACAAGGCAGTCCACAGATATAAAGGTATCCCTTACACGACAAGTCGACAGTGCAACATTGCGTCCCCCTCCATCATCTTTCTCTGTGGAACACAATCAATCAGAAGAGAGACCATTGAGAAACAAGTTTTCCTCTTGGAGAGGCAGCCTTGTCGGGAGATTGTGATTGAGGGAATGACCACTGCTGTGGCAAGTTGGGAACTATAGCCGTCCCTCCACTACTCTCTACATGCACAAAAGACAAAGAATATGGTGGTGTAGCTTTCCATGTTCTAGCGGAAGATTCGTTCTCATTTTGCACATTTGGAGAGTAGTGGCCCGAGGCCCTATGCTGCCACGATCTGGGACAAGGCTCTGGCCTGGCAGGCATCTTGCCACACTGATCACACAGACATCATCTCAGCTCAGATCTTATGACCCCCAGTGGCTACGAGGGTGAGCAACTATAGCTCTCAATCCTGGCAACAACCCAGCAACCCAGCGCATGTGGCTGAATGGTGCCACACATGTAACTGTCCATAAACAGATCGTGAGGTCATACCCTGAGTGTGAATCATAAGGAATCAAGGCTAAAATAAGTTGCTACAACCTCTGTTATTGAAAAAAAAAAAGAGGTGAAGTACGTTCACGTCACCTTTGAGTATCGAATGGGCCAAAAAAAAGTTAAAAAAACACACGTCGGCTAGGAAAACCGCGCTGAGTTCGAAAAGGCGACGGAAGTACTGATGGCCATGGTGTCAGACCAGGTGTCATATTTACAGGGGTCAGCTGTGGTGTCAGAGGGGAAACAAAAAAAAACAAAAAAGCCGAATAGATACTTTTGGACCGAAATCGCTCATTCCGAGTTGGCGCGTGGTTTCTTTGCCAGTGCGACTTTTGTTTTGCCTTTAGGGTTTCAAAACATGCCGCGTCCACCGGTATTTCAAAAAAAAAAAGAAACGGGGAAATCAGCATTGGTCTGAGTAGTCACAGCTTTTATCCGCCTCCTCGAATAGCTCATCAGATAGTGATACTGGGCCTTTCGCCACCACTCACCAAACGTGCAAAATGAGAATGAATCTTCTGCTCGAACATCGAAGCTACGCTGCCATAAGCGTTCAAGTTGTCTTTGGCGGCACATGCGGTGAGTGGTGACGCAAGGCCAGCTGACACTGAACGGTGTTCTGAATGAGAAGCAGGGCCTCCTACAGAAAAGAAAAGGCACCAGCAGGCCCAGTTGGTACACCCATGAACTGTTGAAACCCAAGTTGGAATCCACATGCAATCAAGATGAACAGAACAAAATGATTCTGAATTTTGAATTACCTAGGGCTGGTCAGTTCAGTGTTGATATCTCAAGGCCGTCGCCCAGTTAAACCACCAGTAC